TGTTATAAATATAGGGTAATTAAAAAGATATTTAAATTTATTGTAGAATAATCATCAACTGAGATCACACAATGGTTTTATACAGTATTTTATGTAATATAACATACTGACACAGAAATCTTTGATAAGAAAAAGTTAGATGAGATTTCGACGAAAAAGTACTGTCTTTCTTTCTAACAACATGATATTTCATCCAAAAATAGACTGTCTATTTTTTTTATCAATAGAATTGTAATCAATTTTTAAAAGATCAAGATTCTTTAATTTTCATTCTATATCTTACATTTAAAGAGAATATGCAAAGAATGAAATATTCTTTCCTATATTAAATTAGAAAATATTATTCTATATATAAACTTTTTATATTTCTTCCATCTTTTCATTGTTTTCTTATTATTACATGTACTCTATTTTCATAAAGTTTTCTCTAATATTTAATTTCAACAGTCCATCTTCATAAATTATAGAACATAATTTTTGTCCATATCAAAATAAATGTAAATGTTTCCAAAATATTATCGTGCCTATACGGAAAAGATGCTATCTCATTGACGTTAAACGTGTAATATTTGCCTATCAACTGTATTTACTATATATCTCGATGCATTTGTCTTATAGAATTAATAATGTACCGTCAGCTACGCGATAGAGAGCGTCACTTGTGCTTTATCCAGCCAAGTAATGGTACGTATTTCACGTGAACACATGGCGTACTTTCGTGCGGATACACATCAGTGCTCCAACCACTGACATACTGCAATATCGCATGATCGTTTAGGCTTTGCCCAACGGAGTCCGGGTATCCATGATCGTGTCGACATGCAAAATGGAGACATGAGTTAATATTCAAAGCCTCCATGCTGACCTTATCATGGACGCCCGAATATTTACTGGGACTCTAGTAATGTTGCCGATCTACGCATTGATTACTGTGTACCATCCTGAATTTAACACAACTGGTGGAAAATCCAATCGTGAAATAGAACAATAGCATAAAACAATTCAGAATGTAGAAGTAAGTTCAATTGTTTTAAGTTCTCACACATTGAAAGAAAAGTGCACTATTAAACGGATGCATAATATGTAAATTAATTGTAACTTATTGTATATAATATAATTTTATATTCTATTTCAAACATTTTTAAAAAATTCTAGGCAAAGCAATTATAGAATTTAAATTGTCATTTAAATCATAATCAGAATGACAAGGATTTATTTCAATATTTATATTAAAATACATGTCAATAAGTATAAAACACAGCGGGAAAAAGAGGAAGAGGGTGTTATTTATTAAGCGCTCTGGGATAAATCCCTTCGAGCGCAAAAATTTAGCAGAATATTACATGATAATCCAGCTCATATTGCATCAATGCAACACAAATGTATTTTCATAATATCGTAATGTTATATTGTAGCGCAATATTATACAATAAAATATAACATAATTTATAACATACATACACACATATAAAACATATAGAAATGTAATAGAGAGAGGAAAAATTGATTTGCAAGTCCCTTTTTGTAAATATCCGTCGCTATTTGACATGCTGCTTATTATTTCAATCAAAAAATTGAGATGATGCTAAAGCTCCAAAATTATAACTCGTAACACGTACATTTGGATAACACAATTAGAGTGACATTAAAATTGCATGTTTGTATCTTAAAAAGCGGCGAAAAAAATATGCTCGCTATTGGGAACGTTAATGGTTGTTACACACGGGATTCGGGATGACAGAATTTCCATCCGCGCTGAAACGGAAGTAAAAGTTTCACCGCGTTTCCACCGTGAAAAAGCGCTATCGGGGGAAATGTTGGCCGGCCGCATTCGGCTGATTACTACTGGCAGCTTAAAAGCGATGATACATGCAAACGTAAATCAAACGATGAAGTATTTTCAATGCACGGGTCCCCAATTCGGTCGTGTTAAGTCGCGTCGAATAACGGTAGGAAAATCTCTCACGATATTTACTTCCATTTTGTCGCGACGCGGTAAACCAGTTAAAAGTTTTGAATCGTGGCAAATTTACGCGCAAATCGGGTGCGCGTTCCATATAAACAAATGTTGGATTTGCACTTTAGCGTTTATACAGTAAATCTGTATTTTTCACTCAACGGTTGGGGTGAAACATGAAATTTACCTGCTAATATGTTGTTTTTCCAATTATTACAGATTTCTATTTTATTGTATATTTTTATTCAAATGAAAGTAAAAGATACAACAAAACAAACTCTCAAATTCTTTGAGCTCTTTACCTCAATGTAAACATTTAATGACATATTTAAAAAAATTGCGTTTAAAATTATTTTTAGATATTATGACAATTTAAGCTATTTCGACATTATTATTGATAATAATATTTAAAAAACTTAATAACGATATGAATTCTGGTGGTTAATTCAACTTATTCATATAATAGACAAATATTTTTATGTCGAAATAAATTTTATTGAAATTATTATATTAGATTCAGAGGATATTTTCCAAATATTTTACAAATATTTTTAATAGAGATATTTTGATTAAAATACTATTTTTAAGTAAACGCAAACTATTAACTTTAATAAAGACACAAGTTTATCAGTATTTCCAAAAATATTTCCGAGAATATTTGTATCAATTATCTTTCTACGATAAGAATTCATGTCGGTATTTTCCAACATTGCTTCATCGCGTAAAAATAACGCCCGTCACGACCGCGGATCGATATAGCTAGCGAAATAAAAATACGAGCAATTTTCAAAATTACCAATAACACTTTCGTGTAAAAAGTTCATCCACCGTTGACATACTTTGAAAACGCGGCTGACGTATTCGTCTGTATCAATTGGATCACTGATAGTATGATTAGTTCCGCCAATATACAGCATTATACTTTTCGCGGAACAAAAATTCTACCTATGATACTTCATTGTCTGCAGCCTGTACATAGTGTACATTTACACGTAGCACGCGTTACATAAAAGTAATCAAGTTCACCTGTATTATCAACTTCAACAATCATTCTTAATACACATGATGATTTTCTGATCCTGTGCCGTTCATGGCTTAGATTAATTTTCATCACTTTTTTCATCACAAACATACAAAATAATAATTATTATATATTTAGAATTTTTACATACCTATACTTTATTTATAAGGTGTGTATTAAAAAAATTATATACAACTGTTACAACTAATTATTTACTAATTATGATACTCCTAATTTTTTAAGGAAAAGAAGTGCGCAGAACACGAATGATCTGTATACTTACTTTTAAAATGGATTTTTGAAATTTATGTTATAATTAAGCAACTTTCATTTATTTTTTAAGACTACGTCTATATGTCTCTAAAAGGACCTTTTATGTAACATTCTGTATATAATTCTCTAAAAAAAAATATCTTTCTTCGTTTTTATATTAATTTTGTAAGTCATATGATGCTCGCATAATATAAAAGTAACGATGTAATGTAAGAACAGCTACGGCATATACATGTACCGCAATCAATAATATGCAATACAGAAGAAGATAAATACAAGAACAAATATACATTTCTCGGATATCGATGAGCATTCGTGTCTTCTGAGGCTGAGCCGAATAGAGTCCGCACGTATCGTCTATGGCTTTTTAAGTGTACTCCGAAAGTTTTATGCATTTTCTTCGTATTCGTCGAGCGATTCCGTTCGCATTACTTGTTTCCTTATAATTCATATTTCTGTTGCCTTTAGTCGAACTAGCCGCGTTGCTCGAGTTCTTGTGTTACTTGCATTCTCGGAGTATTTCCAAGTAGAGATAGTTTCGATTCTTGGTGTTTGTGGATACCAGAGAAGTACAAATGAACGAGAGAAGATACAGAAGGATATATTTATAAGCATAGAAACTGAATAATGTAGAAATATTAGGTGTTGGAATTAATTCGTAGCGTTTTACAAGTGATGGGAAGTACTTTCATTAATGTATTTTTTAATGCTCATGTGAAATAAATAACATTCTTTCATTAAAAAACGCTACGAATTAATTCCAACACCTAATACATTTTTTATTTAATAAGATGAATATTGATATCAAAATGGTTGATGTTCAAAATTACATCATAATTTTAAATTAACTTTTTATTTTGGATTTAATTAAATTTATGTTTCAACGATTCTCTCTACGAAATTCTATTCGCTCGTGAAATAATACGATATCGAAAATTATCAAAGATAATATTATAACTATTCTATAAAAATTTAATGATGTTAAAGAACGGTTTAAAATTTATTAAATATAATTTTTTTAATCGAACTAGTAGGACTTTAAATATTTTTAGAGACAAAATTATTTGTATTTATCTTTGCAAACGTAGAAATTTCTTGAAAATCGGTTCGCGGTGTTATAATTTTATGATATGTTAATGATATGTTATTATTTTGTTATTAATTAAACCATTAAATGTAATACAATGTTAATATTAGTCATACCCATAATTGATACAATCAATTATATGGCTATGATAATTTACAGTTTAGAAATACAGGACACCAACTAGGGAGCCTTCTTTTCTCTCATCAATATATCACTGGAACTTTTCCACATACCGCTGAGAAAAAAACCTTGGAAAAGATCGGCAGTCGGAGGGTCTGCTATATTCGTGATTGGATTGACAAGTGGAGACGCGAGTAAATCTTTAAGCCCATCGCAACATCTCTAAGAGCACTGTAGATTTCGTGCTTGATTCTGCACTCCTTGCACGCCCTGCCACAGTTTCTGTCCGTGACACACTGTGCCGTACGTCCTGGAGGATAAGGAGACAGAGGGACGAGAGAGAGAGAGAGAGAGAGAGAGAGAGAGAGAGAGAGAGAGAGAGAGAAACAGAGGAGGGATTGGAGAAGAAAGGGGGGAAGGAGAGAGAGAGAGAGAGAGAGAGAGAGAGAGAGAGAGAGAGAGAGAGAGAAACAGAGGAGGGATTGGAGAAGAAAGACAGAGGGACGAGAGAGAGAGAGAGAGAGAGAGAGAGAGAGAGAGAGAGGGAGAGAGAGAGAGAGAGAGAGTTTCCCTTATCACACACACATGTACATGTACGTGCGTGTGCGTACGCCCTCCCGAGCGAACGTGTGTCGACGTCCTCCCCCGGGGGGTGAGTGTGTGCGCGCATCGGTGTACATCTCTATGTGTATGTGTCCGTGGACCCTCTGCCCTCTTCCATCGTCACAGGGGGTGGATCGGAAGCGCGCATGCTCCTACGGCCGAGAATCTCCCCAGTCAGGGTAAATCTGCCACCGAAACAAGACGTGGTGCGTGCCGTCATGCTATATACAATGTCGCGTACGCGAACGGTCGTGATAATTTCTTAAAAAAGTAACGCGGGGGTGACAGCTCGCGAGCCGAGAGATCGGCATGGAGATTCGTGGCGAGTGGAATTTCATATTAATCATCAAAACGTAGCCGGCACGGAGGCAGAGGACTAGAAAAAAAGACGAGAAAAGAAAAAAAAGGGAAACTGAGACGGAAGAACAGTTTCAGCCGATGAATTATTAATTGTGATCACAGAAAAAGGAACCATGACGTGGATTGCGACGGAAACAGTTATGCGGTGAACGGGGAACATTTCTGCGACCGGACCGCTGGCTGCGCGATCTCGAGCGATCTCGAGAGCGACGGAACGGAAACGAGCAGTGCTTACGGAAGTTACCTTACTTTCAAGTTGACTGGCGCGCGATCGATCGGTCGCTCCGTATCGATCACTGGTGCTTTGTCGCTGCTTTAAAAGACTCGAGAACAAAGCTGAAGAGAGAAAGGGAACTGAGACAATCGTGTCTCGCTATGTGTCTCGCGACTTCACGGCAATCGTCGATTCTTGGGACGTTGCGGACCGCGCGCGATCGCGCGACGGAGGCTGGGACCGCCCTATGAAGGGACTCCCTGATTTACAGTTAAAAAAAAATCTTTAAAATCGTCACGCAATACTACAAATCGCCGAGTTCCTCCAGGACACTTACTACGTGATTCTTTCAGCGACTGGAAAATTTAAATCATTGAGAAGCGCGAACACTTTAGCGAAGACTCCGCGGAAGCGGAGCGGATATAGGTGGAAAGTTTCGCAACACACGGCACGCCGCTCGTCGAAAGTTTCGCCATAATCATTTCCGTGCACGTTATCGCCTACGTGGAAAGACGACTACAGGGGATAGACGACACACCGAAGTGCGGATAATAGTGCAGCGCGCATATATATACGTGTCACCTCTTGCGGGAAATCTGGCGCATAGACCGTCGATCGTCGCGATTTCATCCCTGCCTCCGAGCGGATTGAAATCTCAAACTAATTGTGACTAAACTGCCAGTTATCTCGTTCCAACCGCGGGATACGGATGTGGGAAAGCGTGTGTTAATAATCGGCGTAAAAGCCAGAACGAGTCGACGTGATAACCCGACCCGATGTTATCTGGTGGGGTATATCAGTGAGTGGATGGTGATTGTTAGCTATCTCGTAAAGAGGATGTGAATCGTTTCAGTATCGAAGTGTAAGCGTCTCCTGAAACAGTCGCGGAAATGGCTCTGAGATGGCAAGCGAGGCTCTCAATTGCTGCCATACTCTTCATGTGCACGGAAGGTAATTATTTTGCCGCTCTCTAATTACCCTGCATGAACCATGTCTGAAACGGAAAAATGGGATGGCGTGCATTCACGGCGTTAGAGGGCCATTGGGAAAATCGTGAAAAAGTATTTCGAATCACGAAGAAGAAATGAGACAAGTATCGTGGAATTGCTATTAATGTGCTCTTGTTTAAGTCGGTCGAATTTTTTCAGCGTATCCTCGCAATTTTCAGTGTGCAATATCTCGCACCATTATTTAGCAAAATGTTATTATAGCTCAATTTTTTTCGCTGAACTTTTTGAAAGTTGTAAAAATACTAAAACTGCACTGATTTCTGCCTATTTCTATCAATATAGATTAACTTTAATCTCGGTTTAATTCACTTTTTATCTTTCTCTAATTCCAGGAATTAGAAACAGGTAAATTAACCAAGATTAAAATTAATCTGCATTGATAGAAATGAACATTAAACTTTTATTCAAACACACTTTTTGTATTCTTTTTATAAAAAGAAAAATTTACCATTTCGTTTTGCGAATAATTACTTGGAAACTCTTGTCAGTAATCATTATTAATTACAATATCTACAAAATCCATTTGCACAATCAATATTGTAGGAGCGAATGGAAATGATGATAATAAGAGATGAGGAATAGGCTTTTAGTAGAAGAGGCATACACGCATACGAAACACCGAAGTGGTACCTCATGACACAGATAAAATCTCATCTACTGCCGTCTGCGATAATTAAGATTCAGTTTAATTACGTTAATTGCAACGCGACGTTCACTGCTCGAAGTGGAAGAGAGATATACGACTGCTGTTCTAGTCAAAGAGAAAACGAGGTACGAGAAAGAAATGTAGAGATTTATGGCTCATGTTTGCTCTTCGTAAACGCAGAGGAAGTCGATTGTTTGCTGTTTGCCTGCGATATTCATACAATTCCTTCACCGCGTATGGTCGACGTAAACTGAAAAAGGAAGATGATTTATAATTTGAGCTTTCAATTGCAGATGAGCATCTAGAAATGAAGAAATTTGCGAGAAAATATACAAAACTTTTCTGAAACTATAAATGTTGTTGTAAAAGTTATCAACATAATACATGTTTAAATGAGATTGACAAGGTACGGAATTGACAGAATGAAATGAAATGACGGAAATGTTCCTCTCCAATTTTGACGAGCTTAATGTTGCTGCTAAATCAAAATAGACGTGTGTGTGTGTGTGTGTGTATGTGTGTGTGTGTGTGTGTGTACATATGTATATATATGTTTATTATACGTACTTTTAGGGAGTGGACACCCTTTTGAAAAAAATCGATTATTTTCCTTCGAAGTGAATATAATCGAAACTATAAAAGATGGAAAACAATTTTTAAATAATAGTCGAAAAAAATGGTTTTAAGAGTATATTTTATAATAACGATGAACACAATTTAAATTTTTATTTTTTAATATATTCTCATCACTTCACATCTTTTTTAAATTTCAAAATTTTGTTATGACTAAATTAAAGATCATTTTAATACGAATTCAATCATTTATGATAAAATTATTTTCCAAGATATCGTTATCGAGATTTCATTTACAAACGCTTTTATACGCGTATTTCGTACTCGTTCATGCTCGATTTTTCATGCAGCACATTCTATTCGTATTTTTCTGTAATAGGAGATGATGATGGAAGCAAAAACTCTTCGAAAAAATTCTGCGTATGTGTAATCAAAATTTTCGTGTCTCTTATTTTAATCTAGTCAACAATATATTGAAAATCCATCAAAATCGAAAAACATTTCCGTGTCTTTCTTTATGAGTAAAAAAATATATTTTCAATACGAATGAAACAAAATTTTCAATTTATACTATATACTAATTATAATTTTTTCTAAAATTTTTTTTAGAAGCCATTGTATTTGTATATTTAACAGGGACTTAAAATGAAAAATATTCTATATACAGAAACAAAATCTTCAATTTGAAAATTTTCATGTAAAAACAAAATTGCTGCGTATTTTTGTATCGCCAGTAATTCGTTTGATTAAATGAAATAGACAACTACAAATATTCGCAAATATTAAACGAAATTAATTAATTTAACATTCACAAATATTAAACAAAATAGAAATTCGTGAAAAACGAGAATAATGTATAATGTATAATGTGATAATAATAAAAAGTTAAATCCAAACTTGAGATAATAAATCATTAGAATAAAATATAGAATTTTTTATAAAATAAGATAAAGAAGAGAGCATAATATACTGTTTAAATTTATGAAAATACATGAATATACACCTACAGCTATACGCATTATACTATGTGTTAATCGCTTAACGGGGATGAGATGTATTGTTAATCAAACTCAATGCTTTAATGAGATGCTTTAATATCTCTTTGAATTAAATAGTGCAAAAGATGAAATTTGTGGCAGAAAATATTCAATTACATATTATTATTATTGAGATACATATAACCGCATTTGTAATAAAGAGAAGTAAAACTAGTTCAAACATTTATATATTATGAAGTTTATGATACGCGCGATACATATACTATTTGCAATGAATCGAGAAAATAATTAAAAATACATATATACATAACAAACATGTTTTCAAACGGAAACTTTAAACATAAAATATGAATGTTTATACAATTATTTCAAGTTGCATGGTTATATAGTTGTTTCTAACATTTAATAGATTGTTGAATGTAAAAAGATAATTAGAGCTTGCTAGATGAAGCGGCGGAAGTAATAAAAGTATGGTTTTCGTCGTTTCGCTGATTAATTAAAATGATTAATGAATCATTTTGTGAGAGTAGAAAGACATAGCTGATTTGTAATATAAATGAAAATAATAGGATAGCATCATGTGTTATGAAAGACATGAATTATTAGAATTGTATGCAGCTTTAAAAATATAAACACAAGATTTTCACTTTGCAAGAAAATACTAGATTTAAAAAAAGCTTTTCATTTATGAAACTTTAATCTAGATTTTAAAAAAAAAAAGCTTTTAATCTATAAAACTAAAAATTGCACCTAAAAATAAGAAAAATCACTAAAATCTCTTATTTCTTCAATAATTAGAATTGAATACCAAATCCTTTCTTTAAATGTTATAAATTCCGAAAATTTCTTTTTAGAAAATATAAAATAATAAAAATAAAAAAGTACTAACTTTACAGTAATCTTTGTTTTAAATCACTTCTCCAGATATATTAAATATACATGGTACATATTAATATTTAATTTACATTTATTTAACTTATTAACTTTTCATTTCACTATTTCACTTATTAACAACAGAAGCAAATGATTGCCGCAGGAATTCAACGTAGACGTTAATAAACTAGTTAACATGCCGCACGACGTTTATCGCGCGCGAGAAATATCGAGATCACGTACTATATCCCACGCCCGCCGACTTGTCGCAAGGGTGGTCGTAGGGAATAACGGAATAGTACTTGGCGGCATGAAAGGAGTTACTCAATTGAATCCACGGTATCGGGCGATAAAATGGTACAGCTAATGGAATTACCGGAGCGCGCTTGCATGCGTGCGACGCAAATTTATCGCATACATTATTCATAACTCGGCCCAAGTCGGCCAGTGTCGGCGCCGGTAGTGCTCGTGTTAGTAAAACGTTTCTCCTTCCGAATATATGTGCGTGTATCGATTTGGTAGATGAGAGATTGCGCATGATATCGATTGGCGATGTTACACGGCTGCGTAATAAAAAGCCGACCGAAGAGGCCTTCAGGCGAGTTCTATTCGTTAGATTCGTTGTCGTCGTCGTCGTTGTCGTTGTCATCGTCGTCATGCCGTTATATTTCATAGCCTTGCTTCACACCTCGTTTGCGCCATTGTCGTTCTAGACGAACAACTTTCGCAATTTCATTCGGCGCCACGGACTGCGACAAGGACTTCGCGCAGGAACTTGGTCCAGGTAAATTAAACGCTTGTCTCCGCTCGCGTGATGCCTAACTCGGTGATCTCAGAGGCTACCCAAGGGCTTCAGAAATTCAAGCAATTATCGTCGCTCGCTTCGAGTGAGATGATAAAAAGCGCTGGTCGCTGGGGGAAAAGTAGCGTGATTGAAATAGGCCGTGATTGAAATAGGCGAGGAGTGGAATGTTGGAAGTTTAAAAGAGTATAGGCAGAGATTAAAAGTGGTACTATAATTTCGCTCCGATTTTTCGATAGATGTGACAGATGGATGTTTCTACTGCGCGAATAAATATAGAAACGTCAGAAACCATTTCCATGTGTTTACAATCCATAGATATATAGTGTGTTCGAAATCGACAATGGTATACCGATTTTGGAATATAATATCTGGTTTGGGACAATAGTTCATAAACTATATATGTCTACGTGGTGTATTTTTACTCCCTTTTTCAAATATTCATTTATCGCGCATTCGCAAATATTAACATCAGCCATGACAGAAGTAACAACGTTTTAGATACGCATCGTGTTCCATATTTTCCATTATACAAACATGTATCTACTACAACTAAACTACGAATTTATTCGAATCGATTTTTTCGCAAAAATATCGTATACGTATAACGCTAATGGTACATCAGTTACAAGTAATAAAAAAATTTTGATTTTTATGATGTTTTTACTAATTTTTGTTACACTATAAATATTTTTTGTATAAATTACAAAACGTTATTCTTGTGTAATTTGTTTCTATATTTTAAAATAAATTTAAATGTCTTATAAATTTTATTATATGATTCTAACTTCAGAATTCTAATTACAAAAAATATTTAATGGATGTAAAAAACCACAGATTTTTGTTAAAATAAAAAAATTGGAAACTGAAATATATTAATCTACAAAATTCATAAAAATATTCAAATTTGTTTTTACATTCTGTTGCATGTTTTGCTATTATAATACAATATATCAAATCCTTTGTGTTTTAAAGTTTAATAATTTTTCTTGTATATAAAGCGTCAAATTTGCACTTTCATTACACAATCTTGGAACTTTCTCCTCACG